CCCTCGGCTAGCCTGAGACAGCAGCTCCACGCTCTAAGTCCTCATCTGATGCCCTGCTGGCACTGCTTCCGGCCATCCTTAACCTCTGTTCAGGGTCCACTCTGTGTGGACATGCTAGTTCGAATTAGCAAAACGCTAATTCGAACTAGTTTTTAAGTCTAGCTGCGCTAATTCGAATTAACTTAGTTCAAATTAACTAATTTGAATTAAGTTAGTTCGAATTAGCGCTGTAGTGTAGACATACCCTCAGATATCTGTGGCTCATTTTTTCAGATATTGTTGTGGATGCAGATACAAATTTTGTATCTATGCAGGGTTCTATAAATAAGAGTAAACCAATCCTATTACCACCCAGCAGCAAATGGCCCACCATAGAGTTGACTGTAACTTGCTCCTCTGCGGAAAAAGAGGCACTATGCAGGGTTCTATAAATAAGAGTAAGCCAATCCTATTACCACTCAGCAGCAAATGGCCCACCATCGAGTTGACTGTAACTTGCTCCTCTGCAGAAAAAGAGGCTCAATTTTCAAGACTTGTGTTGTTTTCAGAGGATCTGCAGGATGCAGAGGCCTTTGTGCAGATGTTCTTTGTGTCTGTGCTGCTGCCCAGCTTCACTGGTCTCTAGTAATTCAGTTCTTGTGATAAATGTTCTTTCAGGGTCTTCTCTCTTCATAGAAGTGAGTTATCAAGTTGTATTAACCTGTGCTGCTTTTCCCTGATGCTTTGGGCAAAAAAAAATGGCTTGAACCCAGCCAGTCCATTACTGGTCCCACATCCCTGATCCTTCTTGCTATCACCCTGCCCAGTCCCCTCCATGTAACTTTGTCCCCCGAGCATTCGCATTTGGGGATCATTCGGGGGCCTGGCACCATGCAACAGCAGTGGCTGCACCCTCCCGTACTCCCCATGGCAGGAAGAACCACAGGGGATGCAGAGCATAGCAGAGTGAGCACACCCACCAAGTGTGCTCTACTTCTCCATGTTTCCTGATACTACAAGAAGTGCAGGGGCCGCCATTCCTGCCATTGCATGGTGCCAGGCACCCAAAGTGATCTCCAAATCCATATGCTCAGGGGGCAAACTTCAGGCCAGTAGTTGATAGGCCCCCTCAGCCCACCACAAGTCCTAGGCTGGATTGTGCAATTGCTCCAGCCAGGACTAGCCCAGAGTCCGGGAGTTTGAGTCCTCTGCCTTAGAGCCTCCGGAGTGCACCCCGCGACACTCTTCTGGTGGTTTAAAAGCCCTGGTGTTCCGGGCCACTGTCACCACTCCCGCAGCAATGGAAGTGGTGGCTGGGAGCCCTGGGGCAACTTACTCCTTTGCCCCTACTCCACCTCCATCCAGGCAGGCCTAGAAAGACCCCGTTTGGTGGGTGGAATGCCTGGAGCTAAATTCACAAGCTAAAAGGTACAAGGCTATTAGTGAAGACTGTAGAGCAGTGGTCTCCAATCTTTTTCAGCACAAAGACCATTTTTTGAATTTAAATGCAAGCCAAGATCTATCCCTAAGAAAATGTAGAATAAACAGTCTATTTATGCTATATAAATCTAAACTCAAGTATATATTACACATTTTGTCCTCTACTCATCAAGTCTCAGTGTGACACCTGTGACTGCATATTATCTGCTAGAAAAAATGTGTAAACTGTATCTATAAATAGGTTCAGACACTTGCCCTTTAAAAATTGTTAAAATGAAAATGAAGATGTTCTTATTTATATATCTTGTTACAATACTACAGGTTTTATATTTTGAAAAATACCTCTCTTTAGTCATGTCCACATTTACAATTGAGATTTCATAATGGTAACAAATGGTGACAGGGCATTAATCGTCCATAAAGGTTTGCTGCCTCTTGGGCTGAGCAATAGCGTGAAGGAGAAGGGGGTGGTGCATCTCCAGCAATGGGGTAGAAGCAGTGTTTGTGCTGGTGGGAGTCAGGGGAAGCCCTGGGGCCAACAGAAGCACTGGAGAGTCATGGTTGCCCTCTCCGCTACAGAATAGGTGTAGCAGAAAACACTCCATCCAGCCATGTGGCCGCTGCCCCAGCTCCCAGCAGCAACAACCCTCCAACCCACCCACCCCATCAGCAAACCCTGGCAGCAGCAACCTGCTCACCTATAGTCCCAACCCCCAGTGGAAGCCATGCCACTCACCTCCCTGGTCCAGCAGGAAGGTGAGTGATGCTGCACGGTTCTGCGAAGGAGGTGGGCAGGCTTAAAAAAATGTTGTGCGCACCATACAGGCGCACACCTTAGAGAGAACAGTGACTGAGACTGAGATCAACTGTTAGAAATGCTGCAGTTGACGGGTTGGAGATGACTGCTGTAGGAGAAACTCATTAATGTCTCTGGGTATGTCTACACTACCCCGCTAGTTCGAACTAGCGGGGTAGTGTAGACATACCCAGAGACATTAATGAGTTTCTCCTACAGCAGTCATCTCCAACCCGTCAACTGCAGCATTTCTAACAGTTGATCTCAGTCTCAGTCACTGTTCTCTCTAAGGTGTGCGCCTGTATGGTGCGCACAACATTTTTTTAAGCCTGCCCACCTCCTTCGCAGAACCGTGCAGCATCACTCACCTTCCTGCTGGACCAGGGAGGTGAGTGGCATTACCCTCCTAGTTCGAACTAGGAGGGTAGTGTAGACATACCCTAAGTCTTCTTGGTGCTACTGGATGGGACAGAACACCACACTCAGAAGGTGTGTGGATTATAGAGGCACCTACGCTGAAGCCTACCCTCCTTCAGTAAAAGATTGAGTAGATGGCTGGCAGAGTGTTCTCTGTTAGAACCCTGGACCTTTAGAACTCATTTCTCCCCCAGCATGTAACAAGGTGAAGTGTTAGCTTTCAGGGCAACCTCCCTGGTCCACTTTTTTCTTTGTCTCATGATGGCATGGGTGTTGGGCAGGGCTGGGTGTGGAATTCTGGGGACATGCTGATTAATTTCAGTTGTACTGATGTTGTCACAGAGTATTTGAAACAATCAGAGGAACTGATGGATCTGTTTATTTTGTGTGTTTTTTAAAAATTCGCAGTGGTGCCTACACCACAGTGCTAACATAAATCTAAATTGAAAAATAAATAATAAACATTTTCTGAGTTTCCACTGTTTAAAATATTGCCGTGACAAACAACATGTATTTGCTGGAAGCTTTTACAGGCCACTGTGCCAAAGCAAAAAATAACTGCATCACAATACTCTCATTGCCAAAATTCTGGGATAAGATTATCTCCTCTGGTTCATTTTAGATTACAGATCAGGCAATTTTCTTAACAATTCTTTCCTCTTCTCTTTTCTTTTTTCTCTAGCAATCTATCTTTTCTATGCTGATTTCTTCATATACCAGTAACAGGAAAACATTCCACAGTGCCAGATGTTTACATGAAAGTGACATAAAATTGCATGTAAAAACGCAAGGATTAATTTGGGGGCTACAATTCCTGGGTGCTTGCTGTGGATTTCAGATTAGACATAGCATTTCTATAATTTATAGATTGGACCTCCCTGGTCCAGCATCCTAGAGACCTGACTGATCCTGGATAAGGGATTTTTCTGGACTATGGGAGGTCATTTCAGCCCTCCCACCCTGCCAGCTTCCTGGTTCCCCCCACAGCCCAACTGAACCGTGTGCTAGCTCACAGCTGCTTTCCAGCCCAACTGAACCATGTGCTGGCTCCCTGTACCACTCCCCTTCACAGCTCAGATGAGCTGTGTGGCTCTGCCCCCCTTGCAGCCCAACTGAGCCACAAAACAGCTGCTGTCCCCCCAATACAGCTGAGCTGTGTGCTGGCTCCCACAGCCCAGCTGAGCTGCACACTGGCTGGGCCTCTGCCTTCCTGCAGCTCTAGGGCTCTCTGATCCTAGAACATCCATGGTTAAGCCGGACTAAGGATGTTGCTGGACCAGAAAATCGCGGATTTTAGAGATGCAACCTGTACAATACTCAAATAAATACAATTTCTTACCCCTCTTTCAAGAAGCATATCTCGGAAATGGGCAATGCGTTGTTCTAAAGGAAGAATAATTTGATCTGTTGATGTTTTCACGTTTTTCTCTCCCCCTTCAACCATCTCCTGATCAGCATTCTGGAGATCTTCCGTTCTTTAACAATGTGAGATATGAATAGTTCAGTAAATACACAGTGTACATTGTTTAACCCTCTACTTTCTCTATAAAGAGATTTAAATGCAGGAGATCTTTATACACCATATATAATATTGACAGCTAATTAGCTAAATCTAATGAGGGAACCTTTCAGAGTAGTGAATAGAGAAAATAATCTTATTGCTTTTAAGATTAAAAAAAAATCAATGCTAATCTTTATTTTATACCCCCCCCCCATATTCCCTCCTAGAGGAAACAGTGTGACATATTGCATGTACACAACATGTAATGAAACATCAGTGAAGAGTGCCTCTATCAGTGCAAAAATCTTTGCAGACATTTATAATAATTTTCCAGGATGACTTCATGTTAGAATACAAAGCTGTTTCCAAGGAACTAATTACCATTGCATGAGCTTTTTACTCTACAAGATTCACTAGAGGATGACAGATATTTAGCATGACTGTGTTGACTGCAGGAGATAACATGAAATCATGAACATTTTTTTCTTAAATGTGTATCACTAAGATATTAAAAATCCATGGACAGATTTTCACCAGGTGTCAATATGTATAGCTCCCTAAGAAACAATGGAGCTGCACCGACTTACACCTACTGAGGATCTGTCCCATATATATTTTAGCTACGTATAGTGATTGCTAAAATTACAATTAACAACCCCAAAATACCACAAAACAAAACAAAAACAAACAAGATAACACACAGCACTTACAAACTAAAATTCACTATTTTTTTACTGCATAAGTTCAGCACTGGTAGTACAAGTTCTGCCTTAACACTGGCTTTGTGAGGAGTAACTACATCAATAAGCTAATCAGAAACTAAACTTCAAGTTGAAGTTGTCAATAGGACTATCAATAGCAGTTGCGGGAGGAGGGAGGAGGTTGTTGTTAGGTTTGTGTGTATGAAGCAAGTATTTGTCCACATGGACAACAGTAAAATCAAACTCACATCACATAGACTACTGACCATCCATGAGTATAGAATTACTTGTGGTCTCTTCTGAATTGGATTACAGAGGTAGAGAAGTCCACACTAAAGCCCTGGATTTGAACACCCATAATTGAACTGTGGAAGTATAAATCTCCAGTCTTTTTTTTGTCTTATTCCCATCTCTAATATTTATCAATATTCTGATACATGTTTAAAAGATAAGGGCCAAAAGATGCGATAATATTGGCCAATTTTTTCACACATCAATGCTACAGTAAGGCACTTTATTTCTTAGTAGGCACTTTAATAAAGGGAACAAGATTACCAGAGGCACTGCAGTTCTCATTAAAGATAAATAACTTTCTGCATCCTTATTTGAAACTGTTGACCATTGAGTGGAGGAGGGAGGAAATAATCTCCAAAATGCTTTAACCTGCACAATTTGAAAATGGAAGAAGTTAAAATATTCTTTTCAGCTAACAATTTACATCAGTCAGTAATGCAATATGAGCCCTAGCATATTACCTGTCTTCCATCAGGTAATTGCATTGTACTTAGATCATATGAAAATTGTATTATATAGCATTGGCAGTTTCAAAGGCATCAAATTGTTACTCTTCATAATATTATGGTGACTTTTTTATTGCATTAGCAATTTTCATTTTCCCTAAATCATAATATTTTGTAATATGATCCATGAACCTTCCACTCCAATTTCTCATATCCACAAAGAGATTTTTTTCAAGCTGAAACCAATGCTACTCAGTCAGCTAAGACAGCAGGAGAGACAGTTTCTCCTTTAGTTTGGTTAATTGAAAATGATCCTTTAGAGCAGACGGATTTTACATTTATTCTCAAATAAAAAACTACAATGAAGGCAACTGAAGCACTGACACAATGGATTCGAATTTGGAAATTTATAGATAAAGGACACATTTAAATAGTCTTGTTTTTTTTTTTACTCTATTCTTATCACAGTTTTGAAGCCTAAAAATCTCAAAATAGGAAATATTTTTATAGAGAGTTCTATTATTAAGTTGTGCTGGGATTTGCAGTTGACTAGCATGAATTTTCTATGGGGACAAGAATCACAATGAAATGAGGAATCTAGACTTTTACACTTTCAAAATGAACATGTCTGATTTACCGTAATATGTTTTTTGTATTAGATTCTGACCAAATATAGCAAGATAGCACTCCCTTTAAATAGAGTTACAAGCTTGTCTCCCAGAGCCTTTAAAATCTTGTATAAAAATTGCATTGGATCTTCTGAGCAGGTAAAGATATTAAGCCATATGTTGCTTTCAAATACATGCACACAGCTTCCACTGAACTGAATGTGAGTCACGTGGTAATCCAGAGACTGAATAAGTCACATTACATTATACATTGTGTCACATAAAATCTGAAAATTTTTCTCATGATCTCACAAAAAACAATTTAGTAGATATATTCACAATTTCTCCATATTTTTAAGCAATTAAGATTGAGCAATTTGAAAACATTACAGATAAATTCCAGCTTCTCAGTAATCTGACTCTTTAGAAAAAAATGTGCCACTTTTGTATACAAATAGTTTAGAGTGTTGCTTGAGTAAGTATTTGGACTGTATGCCATAGATACTATAATTAAACTGTATTTAAATTAAAATATCCAATCTGAACTTCCCAAGAAGCAATGGGCTTAAACTGAAGCAAGGGAGGTTTAGGTTGGACATTAGGAAAAACTTTCTAACTGTCAGGGTGGTTACACACTGGAATAAATTGCCTAGGGGGCGTGTGGAATCTTCATCTCTGGAGATATTGAAGAGCAGGTTAGATAGACATCTATCAGGCATGGTCTAGATGGTACTGGGGCCTGCCGTGAGAGCAGGGAACTGGACTTGATGACCTCTCAAGGTCCCCTACAGTTCTAGTGTTCTATGATTTAAATGTAAATTAAACTACAGTAATATGTACAGAACTTCTTGCAGACAATTGCTTGCTGAATCCATAACAACTGAACTGTAAGTTTAGATTCAGGACTGGAAACATTGAAAGTCTGTTGCAGTAAAATAAGAGTATTTCCATTCACTTCAGTGGATCAGGCCTTAACCTAGCTATTCAAAATGTAGTACCACTGCAAAAACCAATGAAAAGAAAAAAATTAGAGTGTGAGTATAAAACATTTCTGGTAATGTGCACCTGCCATATGAGTGTGAAACTCACAAAAGGCAACAGGCATAAATATATGAGGATTAGCAAACTTTAACAAAACAGTAATTTGTCTTACTGTGCTTTAAGTATAATAAACTGAACTTTGATGAAAGCAGACATTAATACCAGAATAAGACACTCAAATTATTTAGTCTGTGTTACAGGAATAATGTAATTTATTTAGGTCATATTACTTTAAATGATGGAAAATAACTGAAAAGCCAGTGAAGAATATGACAGGTTTCCAGACCATGGCTGAGATCAATTATGTTTATCGCACTCAACCACATTTGACACAGTAATTATCGCATATGGGTACAAAGGGTCTGATGTATTAAAGAGTTTATTGGTTGGGCTATTAGGGATTCAGGAGTTCTCAAATTCAATTCACTGTTATGCCAGACTTCTTAAATAAGGGTAGGCTAGTCACTCGTAGGAATGGGGGTATTAGGCTCAATGCTGTGCCTCCTAATGAAACCATAGTTCTAAGTTAAGTGCCGAGGCTCCCTATACAATACACAGGGAAAGATAAGAGCCTAAGACTAGGACTCACTGAAGCATAGAATGGAGCACTGCCTTGGTTAGCAAGTAAGTGTAGCCCAGCCACCTACCTTTCCTCTATTCTATTCACCGCCCTGTAATGTATTCTGCTTTACTGCAAGGAACCTATGGGCCTGAATCCTCTAACACATTTGCTCCAGCAGATAGATGAGGCTTGAGGCCTCTGAACTTTGGCATAAATAAACAGTAAGTCCAACATTCTGGGGAATTGGAAATAGAGTGTATGGGGAAATTTTGTCCATAGTGATATCAGAAAGCCACAGAAACATAAATTAACACCAGCTTCTGGAGGTTTATGGACGGTTCATCCAATTGCAAGAGTTCCATGGCAACGAATTGACATATATGATAATGGGGTGAAAATCATCAATATAGTGATCTATAGAAAAAACACCTTAATATTAGTAAGGAGAGGATATACAAAATAAGGAAGAGGGAAGAAAACCCTACTGAATATGCATTATACATGGCAATATCCATATAACATATTATAAAAATGGCATAACTTCCTGTGGGCAACAGGAGAGACAGATGTATCTCTTGAGTGCCAGAATAGTGACCATTGGTGCAGATGAGGAAAGAGAGAAAGATGAGGAAGATAATGGTTTACATTTTTTCAAAGGATGGTGTGGATATGGATGTCCAGCTATCTCTCTCTTCTTTACTGAGTTACAGTATGTGTCTTGCTAAATATATTAGCATATAATTCATTTGTGAATATAAAAGAGTTAGTTCGAACTAACTTTAATAGGCGCTACACTAGCGCGCTGCTAGTTCGAATTTAATTCGAATTTAATTCGAACTAGCGGAGCGCTTAGTTCGAACTAGGAAAACCTCATTTTACGAGGATTAAGCCTAGTTTGAACAAGCTAGTTCGAATTAAGGGGTGTGTAGCCCCTTAATTCGAACTAGTGGGAGGCTAGCCCTCCCCAGGTTTCCCTGGTGGCCACTCTGGCCAACATCAGGGAAACTCGTCTGCCCCC